AATACACATACATACAAAAGCATTGAGAAATACTGCACATACATGTCCAGTGACTCTACATATAGTCACTACAGATACATATACATACATCAGGAGATATTGTCCTAGTCTCTCAATCCAAAGGGCTGCAAAACCCCAAACACTTAAATAGCATGTCTTTGGTCACCTTATTTTCACTAATCAGAGGACACTCTCTGCAGGAACTGTGACCCTGCCTCATCTCACCAGGGGCATGCAGTTCACACATGGCCAAGCACATTGCTCCAGCAAGGTAACAGAAAGTTAGTTATTACAATCTGGGGGAAATAAGAGCAGCATATAAACTGAGAACCAAGAGTGGAGCCATCCAGACCAGAAAGATGAGACGTCCATCTAAACAGATTTCAGGATCCCAATCACCAGATGACAATTAGCTCTCTTTTGACACTAGGAGACAAACTCCTATATTGAAGTAATTTCTGGTTCCAAATATTAATTCCCTGACCATTTTGGTAGTCTTTCTTGAAAATCCTTTTTTTATCTTTCAAATGAGAACACAATAAAAAAAAAAAAAGATAATCTCCCCCAGGAAAAGCATATATAGGATCCTAAGAGGTCCTGCCTGTAGAGTTCCATGACCTGGAGTCAGAAGGCCCATGTTCGACCCCTGCCTTGCCACTTACCATCTATGGGAAGTCCCTTCCCCTCTTGGGGCCTCAGTTTCCTCATCTATAAAATGAAAAGAACTAGCTGACACTCACAGTCTAAATCTATGGTCCTATGACCGAGGACTTGATCATAGACACTTTTTTTTAAATAAAAACTAAATTTTGGAGCTCAGATGGTCCACATAATGGAACCCAAAGTCTTTAAAGTACATACAGCTGGAGAAGCCAACTGCCTATTCCTCTGACAAGGAAATATAGACATAGCTACTGCCAGATTCCCCAAGAGGCACTACATCAGAGAAATCACATGATATAACTCCCTTTTGTGGAATGGCTGGCTGCTCAAAGAAATCCAATCCATATTCAACTACCGCTTTTACTAAAACTACAATTAAATTTCCCTATCCAGCATGGTTAAGGAATACAAACTTCAAGAAATCAATTGCAACAAATAACGTATATCCCTTGTCCTTATTAAGTTAAAACAGTCTCTGAAGCTAGCTATTTGGTGCAAGAGGCAAGAATAGTTTTCTAACAATTTAATGCATTTAATTATGAACAGGATCCAAATACTCCACAGACGGATAACTTTTATTAATTGATCATTTTTTGTAAGCACCAACTATGTGCTAAACATTATGCTAGGCCTGTGAAGACCTGATCTCTACCCCTGTAAAGAAACTTGCATTCTTTCTGAGGAACCAAGACTAACCCATGTAAAACAACTTAGAGAACATCATGAGAATAAATAATTGTTCAATTTCATGATATGGATAAGTGAAATTTAATCAGGACAAATGAAAATTTTATACATGATTTCAAAAAGTCCATTTCACAAATATCAGATAAGGGAAGCATGGAGAGACAGCAGTTTGGGGGAAAAAAAACCTCCGGGTTTTGGTTGACTTCCAGTTCAGTCTGAGCTAAGAGCGTAATATAGCGGCCCCAAAACACTAACATGATCACAGGTGGAATTAAAAAAGGAACTGTCTGGGACAAGGGAGGCAGTAATCCATAGCACTTTATGGTAACAGCAGAAATAGAATACTGACTCCAGCTGGGAAGCGGCACTTTAAGAAGGGCACTGCTAAGCAGGAGGCCGTCCAGAGGAGGGCATCGAGGACTCAGGACATGTCATATGAAAATCAGTTGAAGTAGCTGGGGGTGTTTTAGTCTGGAGAGAAGATTGAGGGCCGGGGTGGGGCGGGGGGGAGGAACCAGACCTGGGAGATGACCAAGCCTGCTAAACTTGGCCCAAGACAGCAGAGTCAGAGGACTCATAAGGGAAAGTTTCCTAACAATTAGAGCTCCACAGAAGCCAGAACGGGGGATGGGAGGCAGCAGGCGGCTCTCACTGTTCTTCAAGCAAAGTCTACAGGCCACAGAACCTGTTGAGGTTCAGACTGGACTAGCTGGCCTCCGGGCGGACTCCCTTCCAAATCAGACTCTCTGACTGCTAGAAAAGTTCAGAAAAGCTATAAAACCAGCAAATCTGTTCCTGGCACTTTCACACAAGCCTTGATGCTGGAACGACTTAGAATGTGGAGCAAAGGGAAGGCAAAACAAGGAAGGCATAAGCACAGACTCACAAAAACTAAAGGGATTGTGTTCAATGGCAAACAAGTACAGAAAAGCAGAGTGTGTGTGGAAGGAAGGTCTCAGAGGACAGGGGAAACCAGGGCTGCCTCGACAGGGCGGCCTGAGACTGCAAGACCGGCCAGCGGGGCCACAGAAGGACAGTGGAAACCAGGGCTGCCTGAGGCTGCAAGACCGGCCAGGGGGGCCACAGGCAACACCCTCAGTTTTCCAGAAGATGTTATGCAGAAAGTCATGTTTCGAGGATTGTTCTAAAAGCAGGACAGACAGGAGGAACACCGCAACTCACTGCTCCAGCATCTCCACAAACACAAGAGAAAATACGGCACAGGCATGGTGCACTCCAGGTGTCACACGGACAAGGAAATCTAAGTTTTATAAGCAAACATGAAATGAGCGTTATTCTGGAAACGAAGTTCAGAGAAGTACAAAAGAATGGAGTCTCTATTACACAGGCTAGCTACTGGTAAAAACAAACGGCCATGAGGAAATGTTTGACTTGAAATCTTTTTTTCAACTCAGTTGAATTAAGTTAATATTCTAATATCTGTGAGCCAAACACGAGATTATTTTAACAAATGTGGGAAAGTGGAAAGAGGCCTGGATTTAGAGTGAGAGGTCTTGGGTTCAAATTCTGACTTTGCCACTTACAGCTGTTAAGTCATTGAACTTCTCTGGGCCTCAGTTTCCTTATCTGTAAAACAATAAGGTTGGTCCCCTCCAGCCCTAAACTTACGCTCCTATGATTGGTTTTATAAAATTCAGCAAAAACTAAACAGCTATGCAGTACTTTTCCCTACAAGGAGAGAATGACTGCCTACACACAGGGGGTAAGCTTGATAATTCCAGTAAGTTGGCGGGGCTGCAAGGCCTGGAGATCACAGAGGCAGGCCTCCCGTACTTGGAGCGCCTCACTCTGCCTCTCTGGCACATGGGTGGCCCAGACTTTTTTTTTTTTTAAATGATAAAACCTGTCTTAGAATTTTTGTAGCTTTGGAGGCCAAAGCTCCATTTCACATGCACTTTTAACATAAGGCGATTTTCCTACTGCTGGTTTCAATTGTGTCCAGTTCAAACATATGGAATGCCAGGACCATGTGTCACCTCCAGCCAGTTTGATCAGATGCTGTTTGTTTCACAATAATAATTATGAACAATGCTGTGAACAAGCACTCCTGATTTTGTTCTACTAAAATTAAGAAGTTTCATCTTTTATTGGGATACACGTGGGAGCGAGCAGGGGGAATTCTTCCCACCACCCAAAAGCTCTGACAGTGATAAACAGGACACCCCAGCGGCTATTATCCCCACTGCTACCCAGGGACAACCTAGATCCGTCTGGTAAAACCAGAGACAAAGCAGGGATTGGGTTAAGAGCACAATGCAGGGTTTTCACAAAAACACTAAAAGAGAAAAACCCCATAAGGCTTCTATTTATCCTACACTCCAAATTTCATTCCATTTGAAAAAAAATTCGGCATGGTCTAGTGGGTCCTCCAAAATCAGTTAGGAAATTCGGAGTGATCACATTAGCGTCTCTATAAATAAAGGGTGGGTCCCAGGGCCCCTGGCCCTCGTCCTGTGCTGTCCATAGCGGGGGGGGGGTGGGTGTGAATCCAGCCCAACAGACTACATTGTTTCTCCTTGCCCCCCTTCATGCCAAAGCACATGCCCACCTCCTGGACTACCCAAAGAAACGACTTCCTGCCCCACACCGCAGCCCCTCACTCTTAACAGCAATATTCACTATTGTAAGCAGGCAGGACAGGAGGCCACCTCGTTCTCCGAACAGCTGCATCTTAAAGGGGGCAGGATAAGGGGAGGGAGGAGGCAACAATGTTTCAGGGTTTTGTTTCTTGCCAGTTTATAGCACCCGGGTCAATTTCTCCCAGCCTGGAGCCGCCCAATCAGCAAAGCCGGGGTGGGGGAGGGGACAGGACGGGTGAGGGGGGCAAGTTGAGAGGAGAAGCGAGCCACGGGGAAGGAGCCTCGAAGTCCGAGACCCCGAGACCCCGAGACCCCGGCTCCGGCCAGCCACAGGGACTGCAGGGAGAGAAGAGAACAGAGAGGGGTATGAGAGGGCAGTCTCTCTGCCCACTGACCGGGGCGAGGCGAGAGACGAGCTGTTAAAGCCCCCTGACCCAAAAAAGGTGCCTGAGCCCCTTCCTCTCTGGGGAAGAGAGTTTAGTGCTGAACACGCATTTATGGGGCACCGAGATCATACGGTTTGGGGCTGGCAGACACTTAGAGATCATCAGCAAAGTGCTGTGGGTGAAGAGCTCAAAAGACCTGGGTTCGAATCCTGCCTCGGACCTCTTTGTGGTCCTGAGCCTCAGTTTCCTCTAATGTAAAATCAAGAAAGCAGGGACCCGGTGACCTCTAAGATCTTGCTCTAAATCTACGATCCTGGGATCTAGCCTCCCCGCTTTACAGATAAAGAAACTGGGGCCAAGGAAGCCAATAAGAGACTGCCGTTGAGCAGGATTCGAACCCAGGTCGAACCCAGGGGTGACAATGGCACCCCCCGCCCCCACTCCTGGAAGCCCGGCTGGGGCAGAATCCCGAGTGCACGCCGCCGTCCCGGAGCCCGCGCGCGCGCCGGCGCCGCTGCCCTCCCCTCCCCACCTGGATCAGGGGCGCGCGTGCAAGAGCGCGCACGCGGGTCCGGAGGGCGCGCGCCGTGTCCGGGAGCACGCGGCGGGGGGCGCCCCAGTGGCCGGAGCGGAGCAGCGCGCGCAGCGCGGGCCCCCCCCTCACCTGGGCCGAGAAGAGGCTTCTCCGCCCGCCAGGAGTCCGCCGCCCTCGTCGCCGACACTGCCACCACCGCCGTGGTCCTCAAGCACCAAGAGGGCAGCCCGAGCTCCAGAGCCCTCGCCGCTGCCGATGCCACTCGCTCCGTTACCACACTCGGCACACTCGCCTCGCGCTCCGCCCCCGCGCCCGCCCCATTGGCCGTCGCTCGCCGCCCCGCTGGCCCCATTGGGTCGAGGGGGCTGCCGTTCAGCCCCAGCGATGGAGAATCCCTGACTCGGATTGGTCCAGAAGAGAGTGTCTCCCCGCCCCCTCGGTTGGCCCGTTCCGGCTGCTGGTTGGTTATTGTAGACGTCATTCCTCCCCCTCGCTCCGACTTTCTGGTTTTCTGGCGGGGTCCCCCCCGGGATGGAGCTTGACCACTGCGTAAAGGTTGTCACTGATTGGCTAAAAACCAGACTACGCCAATCCGGAGCTGAGATTGGCCCAAGGGCTAATACGGTCCCCACGTGGGGGAGGAGCGCGGGGCGACGGGTACCTGGGGGTTTGTTTACACAGGCGCTGGTCCTGCTCATGGTTCTATTGGTCCAAGGGGCTGCCATTCTGATCTGGATAAACCAATCAGTATTAAGAAGGCTCTGAGTTAAGGGGCGGGTCTTGATGGGATTTCCCCCGGTTGTCAAAATTGTAAAGAGAATGAGAAGTGACGTCTTGGCTTGACTTGCCCGGGAGCAGCCAGGTTAGAGGAGCGGGAGCTCCCCTGTGCAGGGCAAAGGCATGAAGGGCTTCCGTGGCGTCCGTGGCAGAAACAAACGGAGGCTGCAAGGGCACCTCGACGCGGCCGAGAGACGAGCACTTGTTGCAAAGGCTTTCAGTAAATCTCCTGTTTTGCCTGGGGCTCGTGTTAGGCAGCGGGATGGTGCAGTGGTTAGGGCGCTGGCCTCACAGCTCGACACTTAGCTACCTGATGCGTGACCCTGCGCGTCAATTCGCCGAACATCTGTCCACCTCAGTAGTCCCCATCTGGAAGAGGAGGGTAATAATAGCACCTCCTCCTCCCCCCTCCCTTTGCAAACCCCTTAACCTCAGAGAAGCTCGGTTTCCTCATCTGTAAAATGAAGGGATTGGGCTTAGTGACATCCAAGGACCCTCCCATCACTAAATCTATGGTCCCAGGATCCATATGAGTAGAAGCCAAGATGCCTTCCTTCTTAGATTATCTCCAATTTAGCTTGTGGTTTGCACGTTGTCATTAGATTGTCCCCCCCTTGACCCCTTTGCCTTTATATTTTCAGCACCCTGTGTAGCACACAGTAGGTATTTAATACACACTAGTTAATTGACTGATAGACAGAGATACACCTTTGAGGAATAAGGAGGTGAAAGCCCCATCGTTTTCTGCCAGTCAGACCATATCTAGAATGTTGTTCAGGGTGCCACATTTTAGGAAGGCTATTGATATGATGGGGAGCATTTGGAAGCGGGCAACCAAGATGGTGAAGAGTCATTCTATGTGAGAATCACTTGAGGAAACTGGAAATGTTTGGCCTGGACAAGAAAAGACTGGGGTGGACGTGTAACATCCAAGAGGAATTTACTTGTTTTTCTCAGCCATAAAGGTCAGACCTAGGAGCCATGGGGCAGAGGAGTTGCAAAGCACCAAATTTAGTCCTGACCAAGCCAAAAGTACTCAACCTTTTTGTGTTTGCCTTGGTTTCCTCATCTGTAAAATTAGCTGGAGAAGGAAATGGCAAGCCATTCCAGTATCTCTGCCAAGAGAGATCACCTTTGTCACAGAGGCAGACAAGACTGAACAACAACCTCGCCTTATCACCTCTAGGATCAAATAAAAAATTCTCTGTAGTGCAAAGCCCTTTGCAACCCAGCCCCCTCCCTCCTACCTTCCCAGTCTTACTCCTCCTCATGTACTCTTCAGTCCAGTGACACTGGCCTCCTTGTTATTTTTCTCAACCGCTGCTGTATCTCCCGAGTGGACATTTTCACTGGCTGGAATGCTCACCCTCCACATCTCCATCTCCGGGCCTCCTGCCTTCCCTTAAGTCTCAGCTCAAGAAGCTTTTTCTGATTTCCCTTCAGACTCGTGTTTTCCCTCTGTTGATTTCTACAATTTGGCTATAGCTTGTTTGTACATGTTTGTACAATTTTTCTATACATTGCCGTTCTTTCCCCATTAGATTCTATGTGAGCTCTCTGTGGGCAGGAACTGTTTTTTTGCCTTTCTTTGTAGCCTCATCATTTAGCACAGTGCCTGGCACATAGTAGGTGCTTAATAAAATTTAAAAAAATGTTTATTGAGTGTCTGATGATCCCTTAGGTATCTTTTACATCTTTTGTGGGTTTTGTGGAGTGGAATAATAGCTGTCCTGAACCCAGTGTGTATTTGGTACCTTGAGTATTTGTACATGAACTGGGGGACTCGTGTCCTCATTTGGGGAGATCTGAGCCTGAGCCACACCATGAGTATAAGTTTCGGAGCAATTCCCAGATGGCAGCAGTGAGCCAAAGATAAGAAATAATCCTCATGGAGGTCACCCCCAGTCTTGGACTTCGTCCATGTTAAGTCCAGAGTCTTGGAGCCAGCTTGAGCCAAGGTATCCTTAAATGCTTATATAATACTGGGAAGTGCCCTTGTAAAGAACCAGTCACCCGTTTGCCTTAGATAAGTAGAAATTTTGCCTGATAAGCAAGGGGGAAAACTGCTGATGTAATTTATCTTGCTATACAGTACCATTTGACCGGGAAAGCAAACAGCAACCACACAGTTCACATGCATTTCTCTACTGTACGCCAGTATATTTTTTGTTTGGTGTTTGTAAGGCCGTGGTAAGAGACTCTGGTTCCTTAGAGGCACAGAAGACAAATGTTTTCAAACATGGCCAATGTGTGGCCTTGATTTGTTACAAGGGAGGGTTTAAAAAAAGTGCAAGGGGATGAGACAGGAGTTGGGAGGAGATGGAAGATTGTGATCAAGCTACCAAATGCTTTAGAAATATCAGTAGTTCACCATCGGAAGGGTCAGGGTCAGGGGTCAGGGTTTATTTTTGAAATATACTACAGTCAGTTTAGAGCTTCAAGGACTCATCTGGTCCAAACCCCTCATTTGACATTTATGACATTTACGTTATTTACATTGATGACAAAGCTGAGGCTCCCAGAAGGGAAAGGCTTTGCTCATGGTCACATAGCTAGTCTGTGGCAGATCTGGAATTTAGAACCCGTTCCTCTGACTCCAAATTTACCATTCTCCTAATAATGACTCCCTGACGGGTACTTGCCCAGAGGCAGGGGGTCCAGTGCTTATACAAAAGGTGACTGAAATCTTCCGTATTATACGGTATCCCCTGGGAGTTCAAGGACACCTCTATTGTCCATCTCTATAAAGGTAAAGGAAATAGGTTGTGCTGTGACAATCACAGGGGGTCTTTCTCTTAGTCATTGCTGGTGAAATCCTTGCCAGAGTCCTTAATAGGCTGATCCGTCACCTGGATGACGGTCATCTACCAAGAGCCCATGTGGCTTCAGAAAGGGCCGAGGGATGGTTGATACGGTGTTTGCTGCCCAACAACTCCATGAGCAATGCCAGGAGCTGAACAGAGGTCTGTACACAATGTTCTTCGATCTGACCAAGGCCTATGATACTGTCAGTCATGAGGGCTTGAGGAAAATTACGTCAAAAAGTTCATCAGTATTGTAAATCAATTTCGTGACGGTATGTTTACCCAGGTTCTAGATAATGGATGACGCTCCTGCGCTTTCCCAGTCACCAGTGGAGTGAAGCAAGGCTGTGTGCTTGCTCCCATGCTCTTTAGCATGGGATAAACACAATATCAAGGTGAGCTACCGCACTGATGGTAAACTATTTAACTTGAAAAGGCTTCAAGCCAAGACTAAAGTGGAGGGAGTGTTGGTGCATGACTTTTTGTTTGTAGATGATTGTGCACTCCATGCAGCCTCTGAAGCTGAGAGGCGACAAAGTATGGATCAGTTCTCTGCTGCTGGTGCTGATTTTGGCCTAACAGTTAACACCAAGAAAACACAAGTGCTCCATCAACCAGCACCACACCATCCATACATGGAACTATTGGTTATAGCAAATGGAGAAGTTTTGAATACTGTGGCTAAGTTCACTTACCTTGGCAGGATACTTTCCAGTGATGTTCACATAGATGATGATGTTGAAACATGAATTTCCAGAGTTAGCTCAGTTTGGGTGGCTTCAAAGGAAAGTGTGGGTGAGAAGAGGTAGTAGACGGCCTACAAACTGAAGGTCTGCAGAGCTGTTGTATTGACCTCATTGTGGTATGCCTGTGAAACCTGGACCAGGAAACTGAATTGATTCCATTTGAATTGTCTTAGGAAGCTTGTGAAAATCACCTGGCAAGATAAAATACTAGACACTGAGGTCCTTTCTCGAACTAAATTGCCAAGCATTCAAACTCTACTGCAGAGAGCCCAACTCCAGTGGGCTGGCCATGTGGTTTGAATGCCAAACTTATGTTTGCCTAGAAGACTATTTTACAGAGAGCTCACACAAGGCAAGCGTTCACAGAAAAAGCAATACAAGGATACTCTCAAGGTCTCTCTGAAGAACTTTGGAATCAGTTGGGTGACCTGGATGATGGTGGCAGAGGACCACCCGGCATGGCGTGCCCACATCAAAGAAGACACTGTGCTCTATGAGCAAAACAGATTTTCGGCGGCTCAAAAGAAATGGGAGATGTGCAAATTTAGAGACATCTCCACTCCAGATGTCCATATGGACTATCTGTACCTGCCCTGTGGTAGAGCGTTCTGAGCTCATATGGGTCTGATCAACCCCAGTCAGACACCCTGTACCTTGACTCTAGCATGGTGATATCATTGTGGTCTTCGAGAATGGAGGACAACCAGCCAACCAACCAGCCAACTTGCCCAGAGGAGGTACTGGATTGGATTGGATTGAATGTGGCCTGTGGGAGAGGAGTGAAACCTTGTTTTATGTGCTAGGTTTTCTTCCGGGGAGGCCCTCCTGTGTCCCTCTGCTTGGGGAATGATCTACTTTTTGGCTCCCAGCTCCCACTGGCTTGGCTTAGCCACCACATGCTCCCAGAGCCACATTCTTAGGCATGCCTGATGGACT